GATTTGTAACTCCAAAACACATTCTCCATAACAACTTTATACGGGTGGTAATATGTCATTGCTGTGTCTTCAGATTCAGCCCTCAAGTCGCCAGAAAAATCCATCTATGCTGTTTGAAGTTTTTTTGCTACAGGTGTCAGTACAAGAAAAAGGATAGTTAAATGTCCCTCAAGCTATATAAGTTATTTTGCAGGAGAATGACTGTTTATCCCCCTGGATGAATTCACATCTGCAGTAGGAGCTCAGGGATGATGAGGGGATCATTTTAAAATTTTCATTTTATATTACTGAAAGATATTTTTCTCAGGCAAATCCTTTGATTGCATGGCATCAGTGTTGGAGCACATTTTTGTATTTGGTTCATTAGTATGTGTGTGTGTGTGTGTATATGAAATGGTATGTGTGCTCAGGAAGCAGTTTTTTGACCGCTAAGCAGCGTAACATTGAGCTGTTTGTTTGTTTGTTTGCATGCAAGTTAATAATTGATGTAGGTGCGTGTAGGCCGCTGTCTATAATGTAGATGGACAAGCTGATGGTGTATGAATAAACACTTATGGAATATGCCTGTACAGATGTTTAAAAAAGGGGATTATTTGACCGGCTACACAAAGGCAGAAGCAGTGCAATTCAACCCTCATTTCTGTGTGTGTGCCCGTGCAGAGTGAAGCAGCTGACTGATGAGGAGGAGTGCTGTATCTGCATGGACGGAAAGGCCGACCTTATCCTGCCCTGCGCTCACAGCTTCTGTCAGAAGTGCATTGATAAGTGGTAAGATGATGGACCAAGCTAGAATTTGTTTCAATAACCCTTCTTGTCACAGAAAAGGTTTAAACACTCATGATATGAACGGACGCTAACAGTAATTATCACACACTCTGTCTCTGCAGGAGTGGGCAGAGCCGAAACTGTCCGATATGTCGCCTGCAGGTCACCGCTGCCAATGAATCGTGGGTAATGTCTGATTTCCCCACAGAGGACGACATAGCTGGCTACATCCTCAACTTGGCTGATGAGGCAGGCCACCCACACAGGCCTTAACACACACAGCACACTGAGCCAATTAGATGAAATGGGAAACTGACCTGTACTAAGTAGACTTTACATGTTGAAACACAAAATCTCACTTTTTTCCTGAAAAGCTAACAAGGCAAAAGAAACCAGCAGGGTTTCCTTCTCCTTATGTTCTTAGTGACAGGGTCAGAAAATGAAACCTTGTTTCTTTTACTGTAAGTCCTAAACATCCCAGGATGCTCTTTGTAACCCAAGTGATGTAGATAGGGTGCTTTATGGGAATAGGAATGCGTTGTTTAAATTGAAAAGTCAGTATATGTAATATGCTAAATCATAATCTATTCATTTAACACCATAACCAAAAGTACAGGTCTTACAGTAATTTAGGGTTAATGTAATCAACATGGGAGAAGAAGAGCTGTTTTGGGATTAACCAGGCACTTTATAATAGGAATCCTTATCCAAGGTCCAGTGTGTAACATTTAGGCCAGTAGATGGCAGAAATGCAACAGAATATCCAGTCAGATCTGCTTATATCTGTCCTTCCCTGAAAACAATGGATTAAGAAATGCTTTTCTCCTTATGAAAGTAACACCAGCCATTGTTCGACCAATGAGAACTAGGTCGGACAAATATATCATATATCAACCGACCAATCGACCAGACGGTGTCAGCCCCATTAGATGGGGTGTTTTTTTGTGAGTTTCCCAGCCTCCGTAGTTTCTGCTACACGTTTGGAAGGCTGGTTTATTTATTCACATGGTTGCAACTTCACCACTAGATGCCACTAAATCCTACACACTGGTCCTTTAAGTTGCCTTTCATTTTAATATAATGAGAGCTGAGACAAAGGAGGTGAGCCCTTGTATCCAGAGAGGGTTGTTAAGGCTCATAATTCATAACTCATAATAGTGAAGTTTAAAGGAATAGTTGAACATTTTGAAATATTCCCTTTATTCACTGTTTGGGGTAGAGTTATATGAGATAAGATCAATGCCACTTGCATGTCCGTCTGTGAAATGTAAGGCTACAGCCGGTTAGCTTAGCATAGCACAAAGACTCACTAATTAACACGTTATTCCTTGTTTGTTTAACCAGAACCAAAACATATAACGTGTTAATTTGTGAGCTTTAGAGGTGCTGTCCAGTGGATATTGTTATATTTGAACAGACCAAGGCTAGATGTTTATGGTCTTTTTGCTAAGCTAACATGTTGCTGGCTGTAGCCCTCTCTTTAAAAAGACAGGTACAAGAGTGTTAGCAACCTTTTCATATAATTCTTTGGCAGAAGGGTGACTGAGCTTATTTCCTTGTGCTTCAAGTGCAAATCTAAGACAGAGTATCTGTCAGAGTCAAACTGTAGAACCAAATTTATTTTCCACCTGTAAAGCTGTTCTGTAGTCTGTGCAATATAACCCTGCATGTTTATATCCCACATGACATGCCCTATGAGCCGTGTTATGTGATATCAGAAACTGACATTGTCACTGATAGTCTTTTGGGTGTACAGGACTAAATAGTTTTATATGATTTTAATGACTTTGCTTGCTGTGGTGTGTTTTTTTCACTGTTGAAAATAACCACTGTGTCATCAATGCTGTTCTCATCTTTTTACTTATATATATTTTTTTAATTTACCATAATTTTATTGAGAAGTACTGTAGTTTAAACACACACACACCAAAACAACCAGTCCTGTCTTTGCTGTGCTCCGCTTCGTCTGGCCTACGACTACAGATAACTAATTTATTGAGATAGGCAGCTTTTCAGTTAAAAGCAAACTCTTGCAGAATTAAAGAATACCAGAAAAAAAGTATTTCTGGTCTTATTTTCAGATCACATAAATCACAGGCAGCACGTTTAGTTGTCTGGTTGTGATTTATGAGCATCCATGCTGAAGTATTTCATACAATGTGAACATGTAATGAGCATTAGTGATAAATATTTATTTTACAGTTTAAAGTTATAATGATATAGAATGCTAGTTTATTGCTAGTCATTTTGTATTTCTGACATTCAGCAAGTTAATCAGTTTTACATTTGATTACATTTAGGTTTAACTGAACATGTTAATTTCCTGAAAATATATTTGATTAATGTTTATTTAATATATCATAAACATTCATTTAAATTCGACCAAAATTAATTCATACGTTTTGGTTGCCCATACAGAAAAATCTCACTTTGAAACCTCACCGTAGCTTTCTTGGTGTTTGTGCACTACAGCAACAGATGATTTTATTGTCTGATAAAATATTGTCTGACACTGTAACCCTCTGACAGCAGTTGAGACCGGGCACAACCACAAATGTGCTGTAGTAGGAAACTTTATTACTGCTTGGTTCATTCAAAATTTATAAAACAAAGTTTTATTATTGTTATTATTAAATAATAAATTATATTTAAATGAGAAAATGTTCCATATAATTCCAAGGTCACTTTTCATTCTAGCTTACTTTGAAGCATCTGATCCTACATATGCACATTGTATGTAAATTTACCAAATGGAAGTAGATGTATTAAAAATAAATTGATCCTTGCTGTATTATCCTTAATAAAGATAAACTCACTTTTTGCACTTTGACTTTGTATCATGTTGGATTGAAAAAAGATGGAAATCACTTCCCAGTGTCTCTTGAATTGATTTAAAACCGGTTGATGGGTCCACCAAAGGGACGTCATTGTAGGAAGAAGGTATTAGCAGAAATGGTGAAATTACAAGAACAGCTCCACCTTTATTAAAGGGGAGGTTTTGACCGGTAACACACAGGTGCAGTGCATATATTTATCAAAGGCAAAAGTGGCCTTGCCCTAAAACATGAGACAATTCCAGGCCTGTACAGATAACGATGTACTCGCTCATCTCTACAAAGAACACACTTAAGAGTCTTTTGTAGTTTTTCATGCTTTTACTTGCTGACAAACATCCTTCATAAAGTGACATTTTCCCCGTAAGTTAGCATTTTTACCCTTTCAGTTTTAAAAGGATGCAGTTAAATATTGAAATGATGGAATCATTAATCGATGTAGGAACTAAGCACTTGTAATGAAACTGATAATTACCACTCTGATCATAAAAGTTTTAAAGGGGAAATTAGTCGATGGAGTTCAAACTTCCCTCTTGTACGTTGCAGACAACAGGTGACTATCAACAACTCACTAACATTAAAGTGGGCATCTCCATGTATGTAAGTGTATTACTGGCCTTTTCAGAAATTCTGCTTATTTTCAGACATTTATATGAAATAAAACAAGTAAAACAAAAAAGCTTTGACTGTTCTGCAGCCTTTATTTACATATGAAAAATTTATCAAAAAATGATAAACATAAAAAAGAAAATAAATCCTAGTCTTTCCCCAGTTGTGATCTGGAGTTTGTGATACTGATATCACCACAAAGCTCTCACAAAACTACAATGCTCAATGACCCCTGCACCTGTCTTTGTGAATACTTGCCTGGCCTCTCATTCACAAATGTATGCAATTGACTCAGTTTAGTGTGAGAAAGGCAAATCTGACCTGGCAGTAAAATCATATTTTTTCCCCTCTTTTTTCAACTTCATTTCTGACCTATTAGTCCACATAAAATCCTTTGTAACATGCATATATGCAAGTGACATAAAAACAAATCACCAAGCAGAACCTGCTTTACAAATGTAAGAAACCATTTTTTAAGTGTAAATCATTTTATGTTCTACCTCTATATTGGGCTTTGTGGCTAACGCCCTTTCATATATGCAAACCCACAAGCACACTTTAAAAGAAAATAAACCTCTATCTCTGGGAAATTAGGCACACAGTGAATGGCAAGTCCATACATACAGCATTGAATACAGTCATACAAGTCTATAATGCTGCAACAAGTAGGCCAGATTCTTGCACCCAGATTAACAAAATGATAAGCACCTCCTTTTAAAAAAAATCTGGGTCAGGAAAAAAAATAAAATTGCATGCATGTGCCGTCTAACCTATGCCCCTTCATCTCTGAGGATATATTCAGGCACAGTTTGTGCTGCCGTGGTCAATCACTCAGGTATGCTAGTGCCAACATCTGCCTTCACTGCGTCCACGAGAAAACTGAGCTCATTGCACAGAGTCTCGTGGCGGTAAGACATGCGGATCTGTGCCACGTTTGTCCGCCGAATGTCATTGCCCTCCGGTCCATCCTGTCGGTAGTTGGGACCAATGAAGTGTTTCTTTTCCTGTGGGTGAAAAGATAGAAGAAGAAAAAAATGTTGAGCAGATATTGCAGATGTGATAATCTTTTCAGTGTGGCTCTTTTTCAGGTAGGGGTTCAGTGACCCCTAACGTGGGATATGGCTGATGGTAACAATTGTGTTGTTAAATTGTTAACCTTTCTCTTTATGGACAAGCTCTCCAACTACTTGTTCAGCTTACTGTGTGGCTGAATCATTTAGTCATTCAGTAATTAGGACACAATATGAGCCTCGGCACAAGGTTTCATAAACTGTTCCCTTTATTATAGTAACGTCGCTGGACACAGTTGAAGGGATGGAGGCAGGATTTTATGGACTTTTTATTTAACTGAGGCTGGGACTCTTCTTTGACCAGTAATTTGCACAGTTGGGGAAAGGTTTTGTGCATTGACGTTAAGTAGGGCAAAGTTTTGCACTTAACTGGTCTTGTCAGAAGTGAGATGGGGAAATATGTAAGGACAGTCGTATGAATTTCTTCCAGCCCTAAAAAAGCCAATGATGCAACCGATTGGGCAAAAGAGTTGGACTTTACCTGATGTGAGAGTCCGCTCTGCAGCACACTGTTTCTGGCTATCTCACACAGATCGCAGGTGCTCAGCTTCCACAGCTGGGCTGCAATGGCATACTCCTCCATCAAGGCCTCCTGAAAGGGTTCAGTGGAACATTTGTGATTCATTGTTCCCAAAGATGTTTTTTGAGATAATGTAAATTTTAGGAGCAAGTGTAAAATGTGTTTCACTTTAAAATTGGATAGTGGTGTAATGGAACATATTTGATCCATGATCCGTGCGATCCCACAGTTCGGCACACATGTGGACAATATTTAACCATTGTAGTGTGAAGTACAGTTGATTGGCAGAAAAATAACTGGCAGCTATTTATTAGTCATTTACCGAGCAAAAATATTTGAATTTCTCAGGTTCCAGATGCTCAACTGGGAGCAGCTTCTCAGGCTTTTTACAGATGCCCTTCCGGCTTGGGACCAGAGTGCTTGTGCATTGTGTCACCAAGACAACATTTTGATAGTGAGGAAAATAAATGGTAATTTCCATTCTTGTTCCTGTGGTTCTGACCTTGGTGTAGTGGAACTGCATGGGGTCATCAGTGGACAGCGACACACACAGGCCCTTCTGCAGAAACTCTCGTAGAGGGTTCTTGGAGTACTCCAGGAACAGGCTGTTGTTGCTCAGTGGGGACATGGCGATCGGGACCTGGGCCAGGTAGTACAGGTACTGCAACACTGGACTCTGGGGAGGAGTTGAAACAATAATAGGCTTTTAATAAACAATAATAACATTTCTATCATCGTTTTCGTTCATTTTCGGCCAGTTACAGCATTCATAAACTATAGTGATGGTCATTATATGTTTACAATATATCTTTCAGCACCTTGAGGTATCTGAAACACTAAGTATCAAGTTTGAATCCAGGACTGCACCTTCTTGAGATTGAGTCCATGGGAGATGTTGTCAGCGGTGAGGAAGGCGGTAACCAGATGGGTGATGGAGCCGGCCTCGCCACAGTGGGGACGGAACTGGAAAGTGTTCAGTCCTCGCTCCCTATGGAGGGACAAATAATCATAGCATGTAATAACAGTAAACCATACAGCAATACGCAAGGTTCATTTCTATAAAGTTCTTGTCAGCCTTCATTTTTGCAATATTATTGCCATTTGTTGATACTTTTTTGAAATGCCCAGCTGAAACAGGTTACTGTTGTATTCCTGTGTGTAGGTCTTACTGGGCCCATGAACTGAAGCAGCTACACAAATACAAACATCCATTATAGTACAGGTTTTGTACTGCATTTCCTCACCAAAGAACCAATAACGATAACAAGTCATTTCTACCAGCTTTGAGTGTTTTCATTCACAGGTAATCCAATAGAGTTTTGGGTCTTTCTATGAGATCTGTGTAACTCTTGTGAAAATATGATCCTATAACCTTAATTAGTATCATTGGTAACACCTGTGTTTCCTATTTCATGTAAAACTGCATTTGAGTTTTAATCCTCGGCCTCTTGGCGATATTTCCCAGGCTGTTTGACCCTGACATTGTTACCGTAGCGCGGACCAGTCTCACTCATTATGTCTAACCCTAAAACCAAGCAGAGGTCATGACTTTGGCAGCCACCCACTGCGCAGGCTCCGCGGAGCAGCACGGAGCCATTGGTGACGGCCAGGTAACGAGTGTTTACACTCCGCATTGTTTGTCACTGTTGTGAAATTAAACCACTACAAACATGTAAATACAAGCAGCCTAAGCTTAACAACAAGCAAGCTCGTCGGACGTAACATAGCGTCGTCAATGACAACGAGTGAACTCCGGTAACCTAGTTACTGCTCCTGTCATTCTGCTACTGAAACCAATGAGTTACGTTTCTGCATTACCTGCTGCATTGTCTGTGACTGTATGCAATCATATGTGGATGTCACACACTCACCTGGACAGAGCTATGGGTGTGTGTGTGTGTGT